ACCCCTCCTTGGGTTTCCGAGGCAGTATCACTACGGAAGTAGGATTGCCCAACCTTCCTTCCGAGGAGTGGCTGGTGGGTTTGAACCGCCAGCTGACCTGTAGCCATTAGTAATTGCCCTAGCAGACAAAACGGTGTATTCGACATAGGCCCAAACCCAACTATTTAGTTCTTTAGGATGAAAATCTCACATAACCTTGTAAGTGATCCTTTTATGCTAACAGAAAATAACACAGATTATTCCTTTTTATTGGTTAAAACAAAACAAAGACACAACATGCCAAATCCACTGCCATCTAGTCGATTCCGACTCAGTGACACTTTAGGCAGAGAACTGCCCTACGTGGGTTCGCACCGCCGACCTTTGAGTTAGCAGCCAAATACTTTAATAACCATTGCTTCACTTTATTCAGCAGCCATAAAAAAGCAGATGTAGCACACTTCATTTGCATGGCACGGTTCCATTTTATTTCAGGCCAATTTTATGGAAAAACAATCGGCAGAAACCATTATTTGAATTCAAGTAGTGTAGAAACCTCCTTTGAATCAGCTAAATTGGAGTTTGTTTTTCATTCTAAAAGCTGTGTTTGGTAGTTGTTATTAGTGTTGGATGCCTCATTTATCATATTAGTAAAGGTTTTTCAAGTGTGCTCTTACAAAACCACTCTACCTTGTAGGAAGCTTGTACCCGCGTGTTTTGCAACTAACGATACTTCACGCGGAGTTTTTGTTCTTACCTACTCTTTTCTAAATTTTTAATTTTTTAATTAAAAGTTACGTAATGTATTTTCAAACGATAAATCCTCATGAAAAGTGGGTGATAGGAAGAGTAGTAGAGAAATGGAGGCGACACGTGTCTAGGACCTTTACACGAAGGCAACTAAAACCACCTCTTTCTAAGCTTTTGGACTATTTCGTATCTTTGGTTGCTAAGCAATTAGGTAGTTGAAGGAGGTGGAGGCAATCCCAGTGTGCTTGGTCAAACTTCGGACTTGTTTGAGAACAGCAAACGCTAGCGCGCGAGAATTACACGTCATGTGCTTTCCTAGGATTGCTGGGAGCTGGGTACCCTGGGCAGAAACGTGTAGCGAGTCGCTGGTCTAATAGTATTGTATTCTTCGTTGGTCTCTAGTTCGCAGTGTCAGATCGCCTAGCATTTTGTACTTCCAGAGGCTCTTTATAGTGTCAAGTTAAAGAGGGATTGCCGTAAAATCTTACTCCTAGGACGTTCCCTTTCGTTTTCCTAATAAGACGAGATAAACCCGGGTCATAAAGCACGTCTGGAAACTGTAGTCCACTCAGCACTTATTTAACGCAATTCTTGTGTGCTCGATTTTTAGCGCTCAATAAAACATTTCTACTATTTAAAAAAAAGTATCACCGTATGGTGATAGTGTTGATAAGAATTCGTACAGGTTGTAAATGTTTGAGGTTGAGGCTGCCTACGTTGTTTTAGGGATGGAAGATTAAGGGCATCGAGAATTTATGCTTGAGATGTGTTGGACTGTAGAAAAACCTCCAATTATAGAAACTGCATTCGACCTGGCTAAGCTTTTTACACACACAGTATGAATGGTAACTGCGCTGTTCTGGAGTTTGAAGTGGAACTGTTATGTAATTGGAACTTAGATTGCCTTCCTCTATTTGCAAACCAAACCAAAACACACACAATCTACTTTTGGGGAGGAAAATAGCACACTGACGTGTAACTGGGCGACAGTTCGACCCTGTTTCAGTGTTTTCCTCTACGCGTGGCAAAGCCTGGAGACTGCCAGCCAAGCTCTGTGTGTGCGCTTGCGCGGCAGACCAGACACAGAATACACCTTCCCAGTCTCCAGCCGCCTCTGTAACCCACTGAGCTAGGAGGTGCAGCAGGAGGCGCTCTGTGTGAGGGGGAGGGGGCGCGTACGGCCGCGCGCACCAATCACGGCGCGGCCCCGCCCTATAAATACACGGGTTTCAGGCCTTTGGTGTTTTCCTGGCTCATCAGGTCTTAGCGGTTTACAGTGCTTGCTTCCGCTGCCACCATGTCCGAGACCGCGCCGGCTCCTCCGGCTGCTTCCACGCCCCCTGAGAAGGCTCCAGTTGGCAAGAAGGCGAAGAAACCTCCGAAGGCTGCAGCTTCTGCTAAGAAGAAGCCTGCCGGGCCTTCGGTGTCTGAGCTGATCTTGCAAGCAGTTTCCACCTCAAAGGAGCGCAGCGGGGTGTCCTTGGCTGCGCTCAAGAAGGCACTGGCTGCCGCCGGCTACGATGTGGAGAAGAATAACAGCCGCATCAAACTGGGTCTCAAGAGCCTAGTGAACAAGGGCACTCTGTTGCAGACCAAAGGCACCGGCGCTTCGGGCTCCTTCAAGCTTAATAAGAAGGCGGCCTCCGTGGAAGCTAAGCCTAGCAATACAAAGGTAGCCGCAAAACCAAAGGCAACCGGCGCTAAGAAACCTAGAAAAGCCATTGGAGCTGCCGCTAAGAAGAGCGTTAAGGCCCCGAAAAAGGCCAAGAAGCCTGCGGTGGTAAGGAAGCCCTCCAAGAGTCCCAAGAAGCCTACAGCTGTCAGGGCTAAGAAGGTTGCCAAGAGCCCTGCCAAAGCTAAGGCGGTGAAGCCGAAAGCAGCGAAGGCAAAAGTGACTAAGCCGAAGACTGCTGTCAAGCCGAAGAAGGCGGCTCCCAAGAAAAAGTAAAAGTTCTGGTTGGAAGCTTCTTCAGTAACCAAACGGCTCTTTTAAGAGCCACCTACGTATATCAGAAAAAGAGCTTTTCAGCCAGTTATTCGGGGAGTTCTAAGACCTTGTTTACTTACATGTAAATTTACCTACGTACTTTACGAAATTAAGCTATTTCAGGTCATTCAAAGTACCCTAATTTTATTTTCGCCTGAGGTAACCGCCCTGTAAGCTAGAAAATCTTTTTGAGGTAATCAGCGAAACCCATTGTGCTCTTTGTAAGTGTGGGGATGAGCTTGATGTCTGCGCGTAGTGAACCTGGGCGTGGATGGGTAACAGGTGGTGTAGGCCTCGCACGCCTACAGTGCCAAGACAGCCGAGCTCCGTAAGTGTCCGTCAGTCTTGCTCGAATCCCCTTCGTGGTGTCCATGGCCTAAACAAAGGAGCTTGCCTGCCATGGAGTTTTAGAGCTGAGGCTCAAAAGCGCTTACCCCCTTTCCCTTCGTGTTTATAGAAACAGAACAACTCTGATTGGATAATTTTGAAAATCACACTGCCCACCTGGGTCGTATTACATGTAGGGTTTTCAACCCTAGAGGTACCACCCCTTATTAATACTGGGAACTCTTCGCAGAATTGTCCCTTAAGCGTTTGCAATTTAAGTAAATTCTGGGACTTAGATTAATAACGATTATTTTGTTAATATCTCAATGAATATCATGAATTTGGTTTACTCAGTGCAGCTCAGTTAGTTGTGAAACTTTATTTCTTCACATGCATATATACATACGTATGTTAACAAATCAGCTTTATTTTTCTAATGGTCTTTTTTTACCATTGTTTTGCTTGGCTCCCTCTTCCTCACATAGGGGCATTTCACACTATTGTTCCCTCCCCCCTAACTCACGTAAACAAATTGGTAGTCATTGTTTTATTTTGAATTCAGGCGTTTACATACACAGAACCAAAGACGTGCATGCCTTGTTTTGTTTTTCAGTTATTTATTTAAAATAAAATGATGTTTTACACATTTCTTTGCACCTTTTTCTCTTTTAACAAAACAGTTTAGTCAACAGTTTGTAATTATGCCCTTCCTCATTTTTTTAAACGCCTTCACATGAAATAGCATAATTTATTTGTCAATTTCCTATTGAAAGGCATTTACATAATGTCCAGTTACCACTGCTGACCACGGTGCAAGGAACAAGAATCCCTGGAATGGGATTGCTAGATGAGAGTGTATTTTAAACTGTAGTACTGTTGACATACTCTGAAAACAGCTCATACTTCCAATAATAAGTGAACTACCTCCCCCTTCTCCATTTCTAGGAGCTCTGGTAGCATAATGCCCAAGGCACGTGACTGCTAACCAGAAGGCCAGCGGTTCAAACCCACCAGCCACTCCTTGGAAGGAAGGTTGGGCAATCTACTTCGTAGTGATACTGCCTTGGAAACCCAAGGAGGGGTGGCTATAAGTTGGGTCCAACTTGACTGCACGTAACAACAACTCCATTTCTACCAGCAGGATGTGTTCTTAATTTCTACCGCAGTTATTAATCAGAAGATTGGCAGTTCTAGCCCACCAGCCACTCCGCAGAAGGAAGACAGTGCAATCTACTTCCATAAAGATTTACCACCTCCAAAACCCAGTGAGGGTTGCTATGAGTCAGAATCGATTCTATGGCAGTGGGTTTGGTTTTGGTTTGGTAAACTAAACCCACTGTCAAGTCAATTGCTACCCTTTAGGACAGAGTAGAACTGCCCCATAGTGTTTCCATAGCTGTAAATCTCTACAAAGCAGACTGCCCCATCTTTCTCTGGAGGAGGGCCACCATGGTAGCTTCAAACTCGCTATCTTGGTTAGCAGTTGAATTCTTTAACCACTACACCACAGAACTCAAGGGTATAAAGTGATCTCATTGTCACTTGCTTTGCATTACCATAGATAATGGATAATAAAACCAAAAAAACTCACTGCCTTCGAGTGGGGTTCGTCTCATGCAGATCCCTCCTTGGGTTTCTGAGGCAGTATCACTACAGTAGTAGATTGCCCAATGTTCTTTCTGAGGAGTGGTTGGTGGGTTTGAACCACCAGCCTTCTGGTTAGCGGTCAAATAAATGCCTTGGGCACTACGTTAATGGTAATGCATAATTTCTTTATGTTTATTGGCCATTTGAATATGTTTTTTTGGGGGGAACTCCCTGCTTGTATCTCATTTGTGCTCATTTTTTTATTGGGCAACTTGCCTTGTCATTTTCTATTTTTTATACCATAGAGATATCATCTGTGTTACAGAGAATTTTCTTATTTTGGCCTTTTTTTTCTGTATTGTTTTTGTTTATAGTGTACTTTCTATGTATTAGATTTAAATTATATATATTACAGACTACATATATGTATAGAAATTTTAAAGTGCTAAAATGTTTTAGTCATAAAGTTTTATAGCTTCAACATTTTCACTTTTGGTTAACACCAGCTCTCTTCATTATTTATGCAGGCTCCTAGATTTTCTTCAAAAAATTTAAAAATACGTTTTTAGTCTTTAATTCATTTAGAATTTATTTTATGTACTTTTAGAATCTGCGTTTACATTCTTCCAGCTGGATGGCCAGTTATTCTCACACCATTTATTAAATAGTCCATCCATTCCTGGATGGAACAGAAATATATCACCTTTGTTGTTTATTAAGTTCTCATATAATGGAATCTATGTCTGAATTTTTATTCTTTTGTACTGATATTTTTATCTATTCTTCTGTCAATACAATATTAATATGATTACAATGCCTTTATAATATGGTCTAATATCCAAGGTAGCAAGTTCCCACTCACAAGTTGTGTAAAATTTCTTGACAGTTCATGGGTACTTATACTGCCATGTAAACTTTTAAACCACTTTAGCCAGTATTCAAAAGACCTTGATTGGGTCCTAATTCTAATTGTGTTTAAATTCATTTATTTTTAGTTTTTTCATTTGTTCAGCTCTTGATTTATGATTTTATTTTTCTGTGAAAATCATGTACTTTTCTTAATTGCATTCCTAATTTGTTTATGGGAACTCTGGTAGCAGAGTGGCTAAGGCACTGGACTGCTAACCAGAAGGCTGGCGGTTCAAACCCACCTGCCACTCCTCAGGAGGAAGGTTGGGCAATCTGTTTCCATAGTGATACTGCCTTGGCAACCCAAGGAGGGGTCGCTATGAGTTGGTCCGACTCGACAGCACATAACAACAACAATTTGTTTATAGACTTGTTTCTGTTGTGAATGGAATATTCTCTCTCTCTTTTTCTAGGTCTTATTGCTTGGAGGGAAGAAATGTATTGATATATTGTACCCAGTTAATTTTGACTGCTAACCAGAAGACTGGCGGTTCAAATCCACCAGCCACTCCTCGGAAGGAAGATGGGGCAATCTACCTCCGTAGTGATACTGCCTCAGAAACCCAAGGAGGGGTCGCTATGAGTCGGGGCTGACTCGACGACACATAACAACAACAACAACCCTGTTAATTTACCAATTTCTGTAATTAATTCTGGTTTCTTTTTCTAGTTTCTAGAACTCCTTCACTTTTTTCTGCTCATCAACAAAATAATATTTGTTTTCTTCAATGTAAATACCAAGTGTTTAATTTTCTTTTCATACTGTGTTTGCTAGAATTGCCAAGAAAAGTCAAATAATGATTTTAGCGGGCATTTTTCCATAGCTCCTGGTTTTGACTAACATAGTATGAAGTATTTCGTTCTTTAGAATAATATTCATTGTTATTATTTTACCATTGCTCCCTCTTTATTTTTGTTATTATTTTTTGGTGTCTTCATTTATATTTAAATGATTCCCCTTTCATCCCTATTTTCCTTTGAAAAATTAGTTTTAATGTCTGTTAGATTTCTCTTGTATATTGATATGATCATATGGATTTTCTACTTTATTTCTTTCAGTGTTTTCTTAGATGTTATATCTTCAAGTCAATGTCACTGAAAACTTGATCCAAAAGAATGAGACATGTTTTTGTAAGAGGGTCATCTATAAGGAAGGAACAAGTGTGTGACTATGGAATTTGGGGAAGGTGAATCAGAAATCTGTTGTGAAGGTTTCAGAACACTGAGATAACACAGAGGAGGAGGGAATAATCCAGTGGATCAAATGTTGCTGATGGGTTAAGGTGAGAACAGTACACTGGGTTTAGGGGTGCGTAGGTCACTGGAAGCCTTCACAAGAGTACTTTTATTATTATTATTTTTTTTATTGTGATTTGGGTGAAAGTTTATAGAGCAAATTCATTTTCCATACAGCAGTTCACAAACACTTTGTCTCATGACATTGACTGCAATTTTGAACAATGCAACAGCTTTCTTCCCACTTCCTCCCCAGAGTTACCTCTTCCCTGTGTCCTTTCCTCCCTCCCATGCACTCCTGCCCCCCCCCAGCTGTCTCCCTGTGCATACACAGCCCTTCTATTCTCCCATGATTCATCTCTCCAAGGAGTGTATCTACCTGATGTAAATGTTCAGCTCATATGCCTGTCTTTTGTTTGGCTGGAAGCCACAGGAGTGGGTTCAATTCCAGATCTGAAGGGCAGCTAGGGGCCATAGTCTCAGGGGTTCCACCAGGCTCTATCAGACCTGCAAACCTGGTCTCTTTTTTTCTTTATGATTTTGAGTTTTGTTCCACGTTTTTCTTCCACTCTATCCATGATCTCCTACATAGATCCCCCTCTTAGTGGTTGACAGTGGTAGCTGGGCACCATCTAGATCTTCTGGTCTTATAGTCATATAGGCTGAGAACTGCATGGTGTACCAGTCCCCACAAGAGTACTTTTGTAAAGGATAATGTTGAATTGAGATGGAGTTATAAACTTAAGAGTCACTGGCATATTGATAGTATTTAAAGCCATGAGGTGACCAAGAAAGTGACTGAGATAGAGAAGAGTATAAAGAGATAAGAGAGTCCTGAGGCATCCAACATCAAGGGCAGGGGAGATCTGTCTCTAACCATTTCTCATAGATAAATACATTAT